GGATTGAGTCTACAGCCTTGTGCATACAGGCAAGCATTCTCTCTACCCCCCGATTTATATTCCCAGCCCATTCACTTCTATTTTTAAGTGCAGGCAGAAAGAGAGGGCATAATGAAAGCTGCTGAATGCTGACAAAACTCCTGCTGGTGCGACAAGTTCACACTCCAGCTGTGGCTAGTCAGGCCTGTGCCTCTCTCACACCCAGACAGCCCCTTCCCTGTGGCTGTCTCTGTCTTGGAAACTCTGGCTATGAAATGAGACCTTTTTTTCCTGGTCAGATGAAAGACCATCCCTGTCAAGCCGCGATGGCTTTGCGGGTGGCGGTTATCTATCTGATCTGCTGGCAGAAGTCTTGGGAAGATGGCAAGTGTTTGGAGTTCTGGGACATGTAAGCTGTCAGGATCTTAGCATTGTCTCAGATGAGAGATTGCTGCTGATGAAAAGGAAAAGTAATGATTAGTAGTTGTGTTCAAAAAGCAACCATGGTGGCCTGGGACAGTCTTCTAGACAGCTAGGCGACGAATTCCCTCGCTTCGATGGACACGCAGGAGGATGGGAGAATGTCTCGCTGGGTAAAGCACCTCCCAGAATCCACAGAGAGCAAACGTCTGTAATCCCAGCCCTCCAATCATGAGACGTCAGGGAAAGGCAGCAGAACCTCTGGAAGCTCACAGGTTAGCTTGCCGTACATAGCATAGCGGCAAACCACAAGAGACACAGTCTCAAACACAGTGAAAGACAAGGGGCACCAGCCGAGGTTGACCTCTGACCTTCACATGTACACCACGGCACATGAGTATTTCCCACACACAACAAATGGAGCAGATATTTTTGTGTTATATGTCTGTTGGGGGTTGTTTAACAATGAAATTGCTTGTTCAAGAAATTCCCCTTTTGGCGTACATATGCATTAGCTTGTCCCCCAACCAGCATCTTGATTTTGTACAGAGAAACAACTCAGTGGAGGTCTTCAGGTGTCTTGCCAGGTCTTTTTTCCCCCCCTCAGCTTTCTAGTTCTTGTCTACTTCTTTTCTAGTTCTCAACTTTCTGAGTCACAACTTGACTCATGCCTTTCTTGAAATTCTAGGTTGAAGGCTGGCCTTCTAGAATGACAGCAATAAGAAATGAGTATGATGGATATTGGGCTCAGATAAGGATATGAGAACAGGGTCCTTGTGATGGTGTTAGTACTGTTAAGTGGCTGGAGAGATGGCACACTGGTTAAGAGAACTGGATGCTCTTCCAGAAGACCAGGGTTCAATTCCCACCACCCATATGGCAGCTCACAATGATCCAGAGCCACAGTCCCAGGGGATGATACCCTCTCTTTGACGCTATGGACACTGCATGCACATGGTACATAGACATGCATGCAAGTGAAACATCCATACACACAAAGTAAAAAAAAAAAAAATGAAATAAAATAGATGCTTTCTGGATGTGGTTACAGACACCTGTAATCCTAGTGCTTCGGAGACAGAGGCAGTAGGATTGCAAGTTTGAGTCTAGCCTGAGCTACATAGGACTCTGTGTCAAAGACAAGGAGGAGGAAGAGTACTATTGAACTTTCAGTCTCTCACCCTGCCATAGGGACAAGAAGGAGGCTGTCCACAAGCCAAAAAGGCTTCCTCAGAGCCCAGCCATCCTGACCTGGGATGTCCCATCTCTGGAACCATGAGAAACAATGCTCATTCCCGAGACAACCAGTGTGTGATACTTTGTTGACGCATCTGAACCCATGTGTCTCTCCATCTCTCTCTTTCCACTTTCTCTGCTTTCCTCTTTCAGAGCAAGTATATAGGTGTCCTATCTAACGTCACGTAGGCAAGGCCTCCAGTTGCTGTACTTTGCCCCTTTATCATTAGAAGTGGATCACCAAGGTATTTCTCTATAAGACTGCATAGCCCAGTTCTCTTCAGACTATAGAAATCTTTCACCATATCTACTTCCATTTATCATAGAAAGAAAGGAGGCATGGGAGAAGGAGAAAGGAAAAGAGAGAGAGAGAGAGATAAACCAGGTGCCTTCTGCAATAGCACTGCACCCTGGTTTTTCATTTCACACATCAGTTAAAGACAAGTTGGGGAGAGAAAAAATTGTCGGCGGGATCAAGGTGATCCTTCTGGTATGAGCAGCTGAACACACCCAAGGGTAGGAGCTCCGGAGACGTCTCCCTCCACTCCTGGGCTGCCAAGTGGGGTCCCCCTCCCACAGCATGGTGCTGTTCTCCTCAGCCTCTGTCCACTATTTCACCTTGCTGCATGTTTTTCATCTCATTCTGTCCACTACTGTTGAAACTTACTTCAGCCCATGAGTAACCATGCCAAGCCAGCATAGTCAGGCCTCCACCCTCAGGGGACACAGAAAAAAATTATCTGTTGAGAGTGATCAATCCTACTCCCCCCCAAAATACCTGTGAGGGCTGAGAAACTATGTAGAATCTACAAATAAAATAGCCACCTAAGTCTCAGAAACTGCCCCTGCAGGAAATGCCTGCCTGACATTACCCAGCAGGAATATAAGAGCTTCACAAACTCAAGCCTTGTGCTTTAAACTTCCCAAGCTACATTTTTAAACCAAAAACACACAGATGAAACAAATTTCAATATCATGCTTTATCTGATGCAAGATAGCCAAAATATTCCTACTTTAATAATAATAAAAATTAATGAGGTAGTTCACATTTTTTCGAGCTGAGTTTTAAAAAATTGATACCTATTTTACATTCATAGCACATCTCAAGTCAGAATAGCCACACCAATTTGCTTATTGGCCATGTGTGGTTACTGTTAGCTGACAGCAGAGCTCTGGCTAGCTGTAAAAGCTGGCCCTGGTATGTCACCAGCTAAGAAAAGCCCCTGCTGTTTGGAGAGCGTTTCCTGGGCTTGAGGGCATATGCCTGCTATAGGAACAATGAAACAATGAACCTAAATCATTCTTTAAACTATTTTTTTTACTGTTCTTTAACATATATATATATATATATATATATATATATATATATATATATATATAATTTTTTAGTGTGTTTGTGTGTCTGTCTGCCTGCCAATCTGTCTGTCTGTGAATCTGTGTGTGCCAGCGTCCGTGGATGCCAGAAGAAAGTGTCAGCGTTTATAAGATCCCCTAGGAGCGGGAAGATTTTTAGCAGATGAGCAGTATAAGCCCTACACCACTGTGTGTCTCCTCAGCTCCGTTTGTCGCTCTTCAGCTTAAGAGAGTTCAACAAATCACCACGCCCTTCAGTGCCCTCGTTAGGATTCCACACAAGGAGAGCTAACATTTCTCAGACATCCTCAAAATTTGCTGATTTCCAATAATAATTTCTACAATCAGAGAATGGCTTGGTGTCTCCTTATCACTTTTGTGACCCACTGGGTGCTGCTCAAGCATCCACCCAAGATCCTTCAGGAAGGTGCTGATGGCTACTAACTTCTATTCACTAATGAATTTAGGTGATTCTTTACCTGGACACATATACACACAGAGAGAAAGAGAGAGAGCATGGATGAATAGCAGGTACAGGTTTACAGCAGGTGTAGGTGTAGGTGTGTGTGTGTGTGTGTATGTGTGTGTGTGTGTGTGTGTAGTAAGCGCCTCACTCTATCACTCTATAGCCCTGGCTGTCCTAGAACTCATGGCAATTCTCCTGTCTTAGCCCCCTGAGTGCTAGAAATACAGGTCTAAGTAATCCCTTCTGGCTTGTATAGAAAGCCTGTTTATCCATGGCTGGCAATAGTATATCAAATTGGTCCTGAGGTTTGTCTTCACTGGGAATGGAGAAAACAGTGGACTTTCGGTTATATTATATTAACCATTAAGGCCATGTATCAGGATGCTCTTGGCTCCATTATGCCTAAACTAATCCCTTGACAACCCTTAATACTTACAACTAAGTCTGTTTTTTTTTTAAGATTTATTTATTTATTATGTATACAGAGTTCTGCCTGCATGTACACCTGCACGACCGAATAGGAAAGCAGATCTCATCATAGATGGTTGTGAGCCACCATGTGGTTGACTGGGAATTGAACTCAGGACCTTTGGAAGAGCAGTCAGTGCTCTTAACCTGTGAGCCATCTCTCTAGCACCACTAAGTCTGCTTTTTACATAACTCGGAGAAGTTTGATGCTGAAAACTCCAGAAGTGGTAAAGGATGGCACTTCCGAAGCCTGACAATATGGAGTTCACTCGTCAGAAGCCCCATGTTTGGCTGAGTCATGAGATTCATTTCCTGGGACTCTTTCACCTCATTGTTGGACCCACCTTTTCCTCCTTCAGTTCTTCATCCTCAGCTCAGAGATTCACCAATGACCACAATACTGGATAAACTGATGTCCTAGAGTACGTTCAGTTTTATTTTAAAATGCTGACTGCTCTTCAGACCTTAAAGAACTGAACCTCTATAATGGATCCCTTCCAAGCAACTCCCTGGCTGGGCTCAAATTATACTCCTGGCAACTCTGAAGCGTGGTCTGGGAAATTAGTCTTTACATATCACCATATCCCCCAAAAGGAGCAATGGCAAGTTTTGCTGTTGTTTTTCAGGCACACAAAAACCTAATTTGAAGCACCGTTTTCTTTATTGAAGCTCTTGTGAATGATTCTTTTGGGGGAGGAAAAAGATAAAACCTGGGATGGCTGGCTTTGTATTTTCAAGGTTGGCTCATTCCCACGATTAATTGAAAGTTAAATTGCATTTCTAAAAAAAAATAACAATAATAATAATAATAATAATAATAATAATAAATAAAATAAAGAGTTGGCAAGGACTGACTCTTCTCCCTCTCCAGAGGCTTCCACATTCTTCCAGGAGCACCCTGAATCTTTCCCCTTATGGGATCTAGAGTCTGTTTTCAGTGTGTCTAGCCAGATGATGCAACATCTGGGCTGTCTCTCTCGAGAACGTGAGAAATGAAGCATTTTCGTCTTCTCTCTCTGAGTTCGGAGAACTCCAATGGAAAATGACTTTTCTCCTTTGTTGTTTGTTTCTGCTTTAGCGTCCAACTCAGTGGAAGTGCTCTGTGGCGGTCTCCCACCTGTGGAAGCGTGTGACAGAAAGATTAGCCTGATCATGGAGCTGTCCACCCAGCTCTCCCTTCAGTCTGAGAAGATCACTCAGCTTGAAGAAGTCTTAGAGGAAAAGGAAAGGAAGATTGAGGAGCTGGAAGCTGAGCTCAGTTCCCAGCTTCCCCCAAAGGAAGAGAGCTGTGAAGAAGATTTACAAGACCCCCCCGTCGTATGTAACGATGATAAGAGCGTTCTCGTGGCCTCTGATGAGTTGTAGATTTCCCGTGTGACAATAATTAAAGTTTAGTAAGTGTCAGCGAGATGGAGTCCAAAACCCAAATAATCTGTCAGATTCAAGTTTACAGGTCTGAGGATCACCTACTGTACTCATGGCAGAAGAAAACCATAGAAACGGGAGCATTTGGAAGCAGACCCCGAAAGCATCTCCCACTCAGCAGTCACCCAGCAGTAGAGCAGTCAAGTAGCCAAACAGCAGTAGAATGCTGTGTCTTTAGACATTCCCCGTTAATAGTGGGGGAGGGAAGAGCTGGTGAAAAGACTTGGTAGCATCCTCTTACTAGAAGTTTGTTACGCTGTAAAGGAACCATACTAAGTATCCCTTTGTGTGACATTGTTGGGGAAATGAAAGCTGTGTTGGAGCACCAGCTTCCAGTTGGGGAAGCTTAGAGCAAAATCATTGCCTTGCCAAGAGGGTAAATAGCCATGAGGTCTATCCTTTCATGTACTCTAAAGTTTATTTCTTTATGGCATGAATTTTATGAGCATTAGCAAGGGTAGAAACAAAACAATGCTGAAGCAATTCTAAAAAAAAAAAAAATGAATCAGAGCTGTGGTCCTTTGGGAAAAGTTTCTGAACAGTGTCTCTCTGGGAAAACACACAACACTGATTCCCTCCCCCTGCCTTAGGAGAAAGACTTAAGACAAAACACACATTCTTTCTCTCCTCTCTCTCTCTCTCTCTCTCTCTCTTTCTCTCTTTCTCTCTCTCCTATTAGGATGACCATATAGCAGTGAGCACTATAAAATAATAGCAGAGAAAATGGAAGCATCGCCAAAGGGAAGCCAGCTGTAACTAATGGACTGTGAACGCTCCTCTCCCTCCCTTCCCACTTAAATGATCCATCCTTACCCAAAGGGCACTGATGAACTGAACTCTCATAGTCCGTCAACCCTCATGACAAGCAAGCTGGCTGACTTGTAATCGTGGCTGTATTGCTACAATTCAATGCAGTATATCCAGTTCAACAAATAGGAATTGGAATGCTATCTTCCAAACACAGTTAGGTGTCAGAAACACAGCACACCTAAGAATCAGCTTTTATAAGCAAGGAGTTCATAGACATAAAGGAACCTCTTTAAATATGGTGATTTAAAAAACAGAAAGTGGCAAAAATGAGTGGGCCCAAGGTTGGGGAGCCTGCCTGCCTGCCTACCTGTCTTAAAGGAGCTCCTCAGATTTGCTGAGGCATTTGGTGTGAATCTGTAGCCCTGGCATCCAGTGTTTTAAGGAGCCATAGATTTCCTGGTGAACATTGTTGGGATCAGTAAGCAGGCATTTCTATGGCCAGCTCTAAGGGACCTGATAGACCGGTTATCAGGCATTTGTAAAGACACCCTGATCACCTGGAATTACCTTGAAAGGACCCTGCCATTTAGGAGAAAGGGTTGGGGAACTTTGGTTTGGAGGGGAAAGAAGGACCTGGTCCCCAATGTTAATAGGAGATGGACAGGGGTTAGTGTATGGCCGTGGTAAACAGTGGTCAGTAAAGATCCATAGAAGGGAACGGAGATGACAGAGTAAGGGAGTAAGCAGGTGGTCAGGGAGAGGAGAGGATTTAGCTGAAAGACCAGAAGTTAGGACCGGTCTCCCATACATGAGTTTGAAAGGTGAAATAGACAGGGTTTTTTTGGGGAGAGCTCGCAGCCTGAAAAGAGCCAAGGGGAGGAGTTTTACCCAATCGAGGTGGAGTATCTTGTGATAGTTTAACGAGAATGTTTTTTAGGGATCGATTAGTTCGTTCTATCTTTCCTGAGGACTGGGGATGTCTTATAGGGTGATCAAGGGCATGCGCGGGTAATTCCAGGTGGTCAGGGTGTCTTTACAAATGCCTGATAACCGGCCTATCAGGTCCCTTGGAGCTGGCCATAGAAGTGCCTGCTTACTGATCCCAACAAACATAATCCAAGAAGACAACTTTAGGTAGGCTTCATTTTAGGACTTTTACTCCCTGATTCATAGACAATCGCTCCTGGCAAGCTGGAATGAGACCAGTATTATTAAAAGACTGCATAATCTCATTGTGTGTCCTGACCACCTTACAAGACATTTTCCAAACCAGACTCCCTGCCCTTTCCTTCTCTCCTTCCTTTCCCCTTTCCTCTCCTCTCTGCCCTTTTCCTTATGTTTCTCCTTTCCTTTACCTTTAAAAGAGCTAATGGAGCTTTTTTTATGGTTATATGATAGCTTTGAGATTCTAGATATTCGTCAAAAGAAAAATACAAAATAATTTTTTTAAAGTGTCCCACCAGTAATTAAGGTTTTCATGCTGAGCTATGATTCTCCTATGTTTTAACATAACTTTTATATATAATGGCTACGTGTGTGTGTGTGTGTGTGTGCTTGTGTTATTTAATGTCAGGGATGAGACCAACTTAAAACTTACTGGGCATGAGTACAGACTCCAAAAAAGAGCTGTAGGCACTTTTTTTTTTTTTTTTTTTTGTCTTTTCTGAGGCGTCCACATCAATCCTACAGAAGACACTATGGACATCCCTTGTCTCTGGTTCCTTCTCATCACCCTGAACGGCACAGTCACCTCGGTTTAGCTTCATGATTTTTAACACCAGCTACATATGCCAGTCATGGTTGTGAGCTTCTGCCCACTGCCCCGACACAGCGGAGATGCTCCCTGTTGGTAGCTCCTCACTGTGTTCATGAGAGAAACAAACCTTCAAAGGCTCACCTGAGGAGAGAGGGGAGCATTCCCCAAGACAAGCCAAATCCTCTCACTTTGTGAGAGGATTTGTGTGCTAAGTGTGCTTCCACCTCTTTATTTTGTGAAAGATTGCCTTAATCCCCAGGGTACTGAGGGTGAAAAGGAAGGAGACAGAGAAAATGCCATCACTTCTGACATGGGCCAGCTTAACTCCTACATCAACTTTCCGGTCAGTGCTTCCGCAGCATGAAAGCAGCCGAGCTGTCAAGATAAGTAACCGGAGGTGCCGGAGGTGCAGACCTGCGGTTAATAATTAACTGAGCCTGCCACCTTACATATCTACACCACAGCTCTTGGAGAGAAAAGCAGCGAGGGTTTTGTACTCTGAAAAGCCATCTTTATAAGAAGTTGGTCTTGATTTGGGTCTGAGTCACCTTCAGATGTAAGGTGGGAAGGGATTTGGCCTAAATGTAAGCAGGCTAATTTGTGCTGGTAACATTTTGGTGAAAAAAAAAAAAAAAAAAACCCTTCAATCCCAAGGACTTATGGAGCAGGGAAGACATTGACCTCTGAGCACTTTCTAAGTGGAAAAAAATTTACATTCTCGGATGAATCCTTGGAAGATCAAGAGCTAGCTATCCTGGAGTTTGGAGCAGTTGAAAAATAAACAACAACAAGCAAACAAAAATATGTTTCCAAAATACAAAGTAGAAAACTGAGACCAAAACTTAAGAGTGTCCTCTGACCTTTACATGCTTGCTATAGCACACCCATGCCCAGATTCACACAGATTATACACACAGCGTACACACATATATACACACATGCAGATAACCATTAAAATAACAAAATCCAGGCAATAAAATACATAACAAATAATTGAAGCCATTTTCTAATACTCTAAAAATATTTCTAGAAATATACAGTTTTAATTATACCTTTTCACTAATCATGAGCTTTTGTTTTTTTTTCCAGAAAGTTAAATAGAATAAGGAGATAGATAGTCCATTTAAGTAAATATTGGAATTAACAATCATTTCATTATTATATTCAAATGCTCCCAAATACATTCATAGTACGATAAAATTGCTCTATAGTGATAGACTTTAAAAGTGAGCAGAAATCAAGTCATTAGCCCAGAAATACAAACAGGGGATCTCTGCAGGGAACCCCTATTGAGATGAGCTAACCTGCTTCCTGCCTCCGCTGTTCCTAGTGAGTGTGCTGAGACTCAGGTCGAACAGTGGGCAGTAGGCTCTAAGAGCACATGGCCAGAATTTGTCATTTTCTTCATTCCCTGTCACCCCAGAAAGGTCAGTCTCAAAGCCATGCAGGTACCAGCAGTTTTAGTATTTTATTTCTATTCTACATATATAGATGTTTTACTCACATGTATGTCTGTATACCACGTGTGTGCCTACTGCCCACAGAGGCCCAAAGAGGGCATCAGATCCCCTGAAACTGGAGTTACAGACAGCTGTAAACCACCGCCTAGATGCTGGGACTCAAACTTGGGTCCTCCGGAAGAACAGCTAGTGCTGTTGACCACAGGGTCATTTCCTCACCACCCCCACCAAGTAGTTTTGAAAATTGTTTAAAGATTTATTTTTATCTTTAACTATATGTATACTGCGTGGTCTGTGTGTGGGTATAAGTAGTGTAAGTGAAGAGTCTGAAAAGGGGTAACAGATGCCCTGGACCCCGAGTTAAAGGAGACTTAGGATGCCTGGTGTGGGTGCTAGCAGAGCGGGGGTCCTCTAAAAGAGTAGTGTGTATTCTTAAACACAGCGCCATCTCTCTAGTCCTTCATTTGTTTTATGACCTGGAAAACCAGTGTTTGAGATTCAAAAGGTCTGATCATGCAGACATGGAATTTGAAAAGAGAACTGAGGCACTCTTCTGTCTGTACCCAGCCCTTGAGTTTAACTGGAAGGAAGAGGGCAGGGGAGAGGAAAAGAGGGAAGGAGAGAAGGAAAATTAGTCGGAACTATAAAGAATAATTCTTACAACAAAAAAAAAGTTTTGCTAAGATTTCCCAGACACAGGAGAGCATTCCTGTTTATAGAGAAGAACTGAGTTCAAGTAGGAAATGATCTTTCTAAAATAAAAGGATGTGTGTGCTGGGACAAAGTTCAGAGCAAAAACAGGGCTAGTTACAAAGTTTCCCACACCTAATGAAATTATGGTTTTATGGTAAAATGAAACGAAACAAAAACAGTCCTTTTTTTTTTTCCTCCTCAGATTCCCAGGGAAAGCATTTCCAAAGCCAGATACTTAACACATGTCTAGTAGCCTGAGCCTTTGGTGGGAAGGCCTGGGT